GGGCGGCTCGGGCCGCCGAATACAAGCCCGCGGCCCGTTCAAGGTGAAACTCGGGCTCGACGTGGGTGGCCCGAAAATCTCGGGTGGGTCGGGTTCGGGCAAATCCTCAGGCTTTTCGGGCGGCCCGTCCAAAGTTCCAGCACTACCTGCGTTCGTTCTCCTCCTCCTCTCTCTACTTTGAATATTTGAATTATAAAAGACTTCATAATATAAATAAATAAATAAATATATATAGGTCGGGTTCGGGTTCGGGTTCGGGCAAATCCTCAGGCTTTTCGGGCGGCCCGTCTAAAGTTCCAGCACTACCTGCGTTCGTTCTCCTCCTTCTCTCTCTACTTTGAATATTTGAATTATAAAAGACTTCATAATATAAATAAATAAATAAATATATATATATATATATATTCAAGACTTTAAAACTGAAATGAGGCACAATTATCATTTTAACTCAAGTAAAAATGGTATGATTCCACTTTTACTGACATAGTGATGCTAATTGTAAAAATATAAAAAAATAGTGCTAAAATTAATAATCATTTATTCAAGAATGATATCATTAAAATTAACCCTTTCTTCTCTGTCACTAACGTGATAGATAACAAAACTAGAATCGCTTTAAGATTATCTATTTAAACACATCGAGTTGAGATGTGATTTTATGTGAAAATATTTTATTGTAATAAAAAAGTTAAATGTGACTATTTATGAGAGTTTTTTACTGTAATAAAACTTAAATTTTAAACTTAAATGATGAAATGAACGAGGCCTAAAAATAATTTTACTTTTTTTTTAAGCCAATCCAGACGGCCGTGTACTGACTTATCAAAAAAGCTCGCAAACTCGTACATCTGCCGCCGTCGCGAAACCATCCACCGTCGCCGCGAAACCCAGGCTGCCGTCGGCGCGAAACTCAGCAACCAATTTTTTATTTTTATTTTTTTTGTGTTCAGAAATCAGCAACTAAACATATATATATATATATATATTTATTTTTTTTTTTTTCAATTATTTTTGTTTGAAATTGTTTTCTCTGTTTTTGCAATCATAAAGATGCTGTTTTTTTTTTTTTTTTTTGAAGAGTATAAAATGCTTGGTTAGGTTGGACCGTGAATATCTCCGAATCTATTATGCTATATCCACCATCAACAAATAGCGACACAGTTTTAGGCCTCATAAGTTCTTCAGGAGCGGATAGATTAAGATAGATACCCATAAGAAAAGCACTGGGCATTCTTCACTTGAGTAAGCAAATAGAATTTCGCTTCTCATGAATCAAAATTCTTCCTTTCTCTCTTTATCTCTGCCGGTTTTCTTTTTTGCTTGAAATTGATAATGATTCACCTTTTCATGCGTAATTTGCCGAGATTTTGGATAATTTTTCGTTGCTTGTTTTGGGTTATATACATATTTTTAGTTTTCTAAATTTGGTTGTTTTGTATCTTTTTCGCTGATGTGTTCCTCGATTATTTTCCCCATTTTCAACTGTGACTTTTTTGTTGCCATGGATTTATAGTTCAATTGGGTGTGATTGAAAATTAGGCATAGATTTTATATCTATAGCAATTAAATTTTGGACTCTTTTTGGTTTTAGACGATAATAGTTGTTTTCTAAGTTGGGGTAGCATAATCTAGCTAACTTTTGAATTGTTGCATGATTTTTAGGATGTCGATTGCGAACCCTTTGAAGAAACTAGTGAAGTGCGTTATTCTTGATTTGGATGGTACTCTTCTTAGCACAGGTAACTTCCTGCTCTTAAAAGCATTTTGATACTTGGTAGCCCCAATAAGATGTGGTCCTGCCCGACCAATGCGTTGTGCAGTGTTGGATCCATGGTGGTGTGAGTGAAATTGGGCCCATCCTTCGAGCCTGATTGGGTCAGGCACTTTTTTGTTTAATTGACGGGCATCAAGATTTCTTTTTATATAAGATGAGGTTGGGGCGGAATGGCACCAGTGATCCATTTATTGTTAAAAAAAAGAGCATTTTAATGTTCATGTGAGATAAAGGGGTGTTGTTCTTGTTCTTGTGTTAGATATAATAATCTTATAATTGATAGTGGCTATTTGTGCTATGCTTGATGCGACTGACTCTTTTTGCATGACACATTGCTTTTAACTGAATGCAGACAGTATTATGAGTGATGTCTTGAAAGGTTATTTAGTTAAGTATGGAAAGCAATGGGATGGGAGAGAAGCTACGAAAATAGTCGGGACGACGCCACTTGAAGCTGCAGCCACTATTGCGGAAGATTACAAGCTTCCTTGCACAGCGGAGGAATTAATATCTGAGATCACACCTATGTTCTCCAAGCAGTAATAATAAGTTGAACTTGCTTCTTTATCAATTTGTGGTATATATAACATATGCGTACGACTTTGTTTGTAACTCACTTTGCTTAACTAGTAATAAACGTTACTTCTAATTTTGCATGTTGTGTGCTCCAGCGCTTGTATTGAAAAATGTTGGTTGGATTTTTACAATTGCCTTTGTACTTGTAGTTGGTGCAATATTAAAGCACTTCCAGGAGCGAATCGGCTAATTAAACATTTCAGCAGTCATGAAGTGCCCATGGCATTGGCTTCAAACTCTCCTAGGGAGAATATAGAAACGAAAATCTCATGTCATCCTGGTATGCTTTCTTAGAAACCTTGGGACATTTTTTTTTCCTTGTGTCTCGAGTGGAGAAATGTCTGACCTGACATGGATTAACTTTAACATATATTTGCTTGCTTTCTTATAATTATTTACTCGTAGGATGGAAGGAATCCTTTTCTGTCATAATTGGTGGCGATGAAGTGAGATCGGGGAAGCCGTCACCTGAAATGTACAATGAGACTATCTTTTTAGCTTTGACATACAGTTGTTTGTTTTCTCACTTTTGACTTGTATATTCTTTTGAATCCCTAACTTTGTGGTTTTGCCGCTGAAGATTCCTCGAAGCAGCTAAAAGGCTAAATGTTGAACCTTCCAGCTGCCTTGTCATCGAAGATTCTCTGTATGTGACCTCCCTTTTAATCATTAAAGCTATAGATTCATTTTCATGATGGCTTCTATGCTAAAACTAGTACAATTGCATGTTTTCTTTTGGAGTGATATAATATGCTCTTACATTTTTAAACAATAGTTCTTAGCTTTCGTGTAAAACTTGGTCATTATGTTGACAAGTAGGAATGCTGAGATAATGAGTAGTACATATGTCTATTCATAGTTGTTGTTCACGTGGAGAGTGAATTATATACGACCTATGACCGTAACGAGTATCTCAACCTATCTGAGTCTTTCCTCATATGTATATATATTTGGTTTCTCAGACCAGGTGTGACGGCTGGTAAGGCTGCTCACATGGAAGTGGTTGCTGTACCATCCCTTCCGAAACAATCCCATCTCTATGTTGCAGCAGATGAGGTGATCAATTCTTTACTTGATTTGCGACCTGAAAAGTGGGGCCTCTCTCCATTCCAAGATTGTAAAAGTCTTCATCTTGTTTCAACTCTATCTGCCCAATTTCTTTTGATAAAGCATTTTTACGAGCTCTGGTTTCTTGCTATTGCAGGGATAGAAGGTACTTTGCCATTGGAACCTTGGTATATTGGTGGTCCTGTCACCAAGGGATTTGGACGTGGCTCGAAAGTACTTGGGATCCCAACAGGTAAAGAGAGCCTTTGAGTGTTGCCTATGGCCAAATTGTTTTTCTTCACTAGATGCTTGATACTTGATAGAACATTTTGGTTCAATATTCTTATCGGTGCACTTCCATTATGTTTTCAGCTAATTTGTCCACAGATGGATATTCAACTCTCCTTTCAGAACATCCCTCAGGGGTATATTTTGGTTGGGCCGGATTATCAACTCGCGGGGTTTTTAAAATGGTCATGAGTATTGGTTGGAATCCATATTTCAACAACACTGAAAAGACTATAGTAAGTCCAACTCTAAAACACTAAAACGCACAAATTTTTATAGAAGTTTGAACTTTGAAGGGTTCTTTCCTCAATTGTTCAATATGCAGGAGCCATGGCTTCTTCATGACTTCGATGAGGATTTCTATGGTGAGGAATTGCGTCTTGTTATAGTTGGCTACATTCGGCCTGAGGTACTTGTGAATAGACTGTTATTTTGTGGAGAATATTTCCCTTGCACCTTCTTATGTTGTTTTCCTTAGCTAATGATTGGATATGAAATGATACCGCAGGCAAATTTTCCGACCCTCGAGGGATTGATAGCAAAGATTCACGAGGACAAGAAAATTGCAGAGACAGCTCTTGATCTTCCATTGTACTCGAAATACAGGGATGACCCCTATTTGAGAAGTTCTGTTTAGAATGACATTCATATATTTCCCCATATTGATACTCTCTCAAGAGAACAAGAAAGTAGAGTCCTTTTGCAGTTTTGCTATCATATGACATTTATTCTTAAACCGAAATTCCCTCTTAATTTATGTTTTCATTCTTTTTGGCTAGAGAGATGTGATCTAGAATATTGATTGGAAGACAATCATTCTGTTTGTATTATGCACAGTGAGAAGCATAACAAGGTAATAAAATGAATCCAACATTGCTTTTTGTGTAGCTTCTCTTATTACATAGAAATTCTCCTCAGCACAAAATGATAGGCATGTATGATAGAAACATTTATTGTGGTTTTTTGCGTATTGCAAACACTTAACCTTTTTTTTTTTTTTTTTTTTTTTTTTTTGGGCTCTTGAATTGAAAAACCCTTTTTTTTTTTTTTTTTTTTTTTTTGGCCTATTCAATTCCAAACCCTTTTTTTTTTTTTTTTTTTTTTTTTTTGGGCTACTGAATTGCAAACCCCTTTTTTTTTTTTTTTTGGTAATTAATTGCAAAAACTTTATTGTTCATGGCCACTTAAACTTGCAAATTACCTAACTTTTCTTATTATAAAAATAAGTGCTTATTAGCTGAAAATCCAAGGAAGAAAGAAAACCACCATGTTTCTCAAGTGTGATTCAGTTTGATTTTACAATAGCTACTTAATAGAAGCTAAGTTATATAAGAAGATTTCACTATATTAAGAAAAGAAATTCTAAATTGAGGCACAGAGGGACAAAAAAGAGTGGGGGTTGGACGTTTGTATGCACATAATATTCCTTGATTTTGTTTAAAATATAGGACTTGGTTTAACTCTGGCACCCATGAAAAGTTTGGAGCGTTTCTACCTTTTATTGCCTGTGGTACTTACCACTGGCGGTGTTTTTTAAGACAATTATATATTATGCTATCAAAATTCAATAGCTTTATGTTATAAAAAAAAATTTACATATACTGATAGAATACTCTTTAAATATGTCTCTTCATATTTGTCGAGAAGAAAAAAAAATATAATATCTAATGAATTGAATGGCATGATATTGAAATTATACTATTGGACGACATAAATGTAAAGATAACATCTTTTGGTTGACGTTTTTGGTTGAGAAAAAACTAAAAATACCACTTATTTATGCCATCGCAGTGGCATAATAAAAACAAACGTTTATTAAATTAGTTAAAAAATAATTTTAAGTGATACAAACTTATATTTTGAATGCATAAATATAAAATAATGAAAAGATGGTAGCACACATAATTTTTTCTCTATTTCTTTTTTTAATTACAAAAATAACCATTGTTTTTCATAATCCTATTATTTATAGTATTTAAAAATATTTTGGTAGAATATGCTATATAAAATATATTCTGATAGAATACGAAAAATATCATGTCAGAAAAAGAATATTCAAATAGAATGTGAAAGATATTCTACTAGAATATTAATGTTATAAATGATAAATTTAAAATTGAGGATAGAAATAAAATAGTGTATCGCATTCTTGAAAATTATTTTTCTTTATGTATTTCTCCCATTTCCAAAGTTGCGGGATGCGATGCAATTCAACCCACCAATCCATGCAGTCGCCAATTAATTTGACGGTATACCATTTTAAAGAGATGGTTGTTGGTCTTTTACCATTTTATTTCATTTCCTTTGATTCATATTACTTTCATTAGAAGAGAAATTCGTGCTATGATTTAAATTATAGTTCGTGATTTGTTACAATATTTTCTCTCATATAAAATATACCTAAAATGAGAATAATTCTAAGAAAGAAACGTCTTAAAAGCCCAAAGAAACAAACGCGTAATTCAAACCGCAGTCTCCAAAGTCCAGCCCACACAATCACACACACGAGCCCAAAATTAAAAGCCCAAAGAAAACACACCAGACGAGACGCTGCCTGTGCCTGTTCCTCTCCTGTTCATTAGCGCAGAACAGAGAGAGAGAGAGAGAGAGAGAGATTTCTCTTTCTTTTGTGCTGTCAACGTTGTGTAATGGTGAGAACTGAGAACTGTGTACTGAGACAGTTTACAATTGCAAATTGTAATGAAGTAATTGAAAGAAAGGCTAGAAGTTGAGAAGGGAGAGAGACAAAGTGGAAGAAGATGGAGACAGAAGTGGAAGCTGGCCGTGTAAAGCCATTGTCGTACAAAGTGAAGGCAATCTCCAGAGAGTCTCCTTCTCAGAAGGCCTCTCACGTTCTCGACGCCGACCTCCGCTCCCACTGGTCCACCGCCACCAACACCAAGGAGTGGATTCTTCTCGAACTCAACGTCTGCAACAATCAACTCTCTCTCTCTCTCTCTCTACTTTCTCTCTCTTCTTACCATTTCCAAACTCTCGCAGGAACCTTGCTTGCTCTCCCACATTCGGATTCACAACAAGTCCGTTCTCGAATGGGAGATTTCTGTCGGATTGCGCTACAAGGTTTTCTCTCTTTCTTCTTCCTTTTGCTATTTTTAGGTTTCACTGATTTTCTCTCTTTTGTTTGATATTCAATTGTTCTCTCTATCTCTCTATCTAACAGCCAGAGACGTTTGTGAAAGTTCGACCGCGTTGCGAGGCTCCTCGACGGGATATGGTGTATCCGATGAACTACACTCCTTGCCGCTACGTGCGAATTTCTTGTTTGCGAGGAAATCCGATTGCTATTTTCTTCATTCAGGTAAAATCAAAGAAAAAAGGAAGTTGTATTTTGTTTATTTTTTATTGTCATTGCGGTTTTCTTGTTGGACCTGATTTTCTTGTGAAAATTATTTGCATTTATTTGCTTTCTGATGCAAATGCTTTACTGAAGGGATTTGGTGGTGAAAATGTTAACAAAATATGCGGGGGTTTAGTATTCCGAGTGTTTTTTCCACCTTAATGTAATACTTTTTTCATAAATTTGAGATTTGGTCGTAGAAGACTAAAAGTAAGGAAATTGAAGAAGAAAAGAGCTAGGGTTTTCCTTTCAGTGTTTATTATTAGTGAAGACATTTTTGTCGTTTTGGCTGTGATACTGAATAATAGATATACAAAAGTGAAAATTAATCATTAAGGGGGAAAAATGACGTAAAAGAATATGATGAACTCATAGAAGGAACTGAACGTGTATCTGCTTAAATGCAGTGGTCTGAACACACTACAGTCCTTTTTTTTTTCTTGGAAAATTTGAAGTTTTCGTGAAAAAAAAGGGTCTTAAAAAACTTGGAAAACAGTAAGTAAAGATGAAAGAGTGGCACTTAAGGTTTGGAGAATACGGAGTTGCCAACATCAAGGTTCAAACTTGGTCCGCATGATTGAAATAAGTATATGATTAGTCTGCTCTTTTGTGTAGGTTGGTTTCCCTGTTCGCGTCATAAATTGTTTTCAACCTCTTTTTTATTGGTGCTAAAGTTGATTATGTTATTACCCACCTTGCAGGTGATTGGGGTTTCAGTTAGTGGTCTTGAACCAGAGTTTCAGCCTGTTGTTAACCACTTGTTGCCTCACATAACATCGCATAAACAAGATGCCCATGATACGCATCTTCAGGTCAATAACATAATTTATGCATCCTAATTTTCTTATTCTATACTTCTATTGTCACATTTCTCTGATGTGTGTTAGTATGTAGTTGCTTAAAGACATGACAAACCGGTTGCATATGTTCCTTCCCCAACTTGAGGTATATTACATGTTTTAGACCTTTTTTCTTTCATAGTGCTTCTTCAAGACTTCCTTTGTTTCTCCCTTTTCTTGAGCTTTTTATGATCACATCTTTTCTGTATTTTTGTTTCTAAATCGTACAGGCAGAACTTGACAGCTTTTCAGATGCTGCTGAACATAACCTACGTTTTCTTGCCATGCTAACTGGTCCATTTTATCCAATACTTTATGTCGTGAATGAAAGGTATTTTAACCTTCTAATAAGAGTCTCTCTGCCATGCACTTTTCTTGAGTTTATGTATGCATGTATCAGATACATAGACTTATTCCATGCAAAATGACTTTGAAATAAGCATAAATATGAATGTATTAACTATAGTTATGCAGTGCAAGATTCGCTTGAAAAATATCGGATTTTAAGAGAGTAAATAAATGCAATTAGCATGGACATGATATGGAAAGAAACAACTGAATTTAGGTTCATACGCTGCACAAAGATATGACCTTAAAATACTAGTCTAAAAAGAGATCTTTTTCTATGAAAGATTTTAAGACAGTAAGACGCTATTCTGCTGGCGTCCAAGATGCCGTGTGTACTGAATTGAAACTTTGTGATGAAACAAGTTTTTATAGGCAGCTTTTGGAATCTGCTACCAGGATTATTTTCTTTAGGTTACAGACTAAATGTAAATTGGCAATTATATAATTTAGGCCGAATCTTGTCTCAGACAAACTCCGTGCTTGAGCAAGTATCTTTATTTACAATTCATGAGTTATTCTCAAGCCATAAGATTCTTGAAATAGAGGTGAAACATGTTGTCCTTTTTACTTCGTGAATACTTTCTAAAGCATACAACCATGACAGGCTCAATATCCAAGAGAGCAACCCATAAAGTCAGTGATCCAAAGTTATTTTTTATTATTATTATATATATATATATATTTTAACTTCTAAGTTTTTTCTATTACATGCATATCTAGATGAAAGAATCTTTCACCCTTAAGGTCTCATGTGAAGGAGTTGTTACCTTTTCCAAAAGCTGTTCGGTTTTCTTTGCTGTCCCCGTTTTCATATGTTTAACTCTTCATGCCATAGGGCAACTACAAAGTCTTCAGGCAGTGTACCAGACTCTGAAGTTTCCAAGAATTCTCCACCATCTTCAGCCTTAACCGTTTCTTCTAACTTTGAGGTAATGTCAGTCTCTCTCTCTCTCTCTTTCTGGGGTAAAGTGTACTTGGATGACCTTTACAGTTTTCTGATGTGTTGGAAATACAAAGTTACTGTACGCTATTGTAGAATTTCTGTACTCGTAGGTTTTGCTGCCTTTTCTTTTCTTAAAAAATAAATTAGTCAAGAAGATTTGATTCGTGTCTATATTTTTAAACTTTCCACATGGTCTTGGAATGACTGGCCAATCACCTTTCCTCTTGTCTGCATATAGCCACGGAAGTTACGCAGTATGTCACCTTTCGTTTTATCCACATCAAGTTCCATGGTGTTCCGTCCAGATGTGATTTTCATGCTGTTGAGAAAGGCATACGAAGATTCTGATTTGGGAACTGTTTGCAGGACGGTAATTCCATTATGTTTCTTTTTTCAGTATGGCTTATTTGCAACCTTTTGATTTTATGCTCGTAACTGGCTGCAATTACCCCCTTGGTCTCAGGCTTCTAGAATCCTGCAGAAGCTTTTAGAGCCTGTTATTGTTCAGGAAGCATCGACGTCTCCTAGTGAAATGACATCTGGGGATGAGTCATTAAAATCTGAATTACTTATTCCTGTTCCTTTACTCGACTACTCAAATTTATTTGGAGAAGACTTCCAGCTACCTGATGATCAATGGGATTCCAGCCTTCTTAGCATCCTGGATTTAGGGGCAGTTGAAGAGGGAATTATACATGTTCTTTTTGCGTGTGCGTCACAGGTTAATTACGGGAAGAGGCTACTTTGAAACTCTTTAAGCACCATTGTCATTTCTGATTTCTATTGTCTCTGCAATTCAAATCTTTCAGTTAAACACTTATATTTGATTTTTATGTTTCTCAGCCTATTCTCTGCAGTAAATTGGCAGGGAGAAGTTCTGACTTCTGGTCTGCATTGCCATTGGTGCAAGCATTGCTACCGGGTAAGGGTGGCAATTCGTGTTAGTGGGTCGTGTTCGTGTCAACCCGTTTATTAATTGTGTCACAAAACATCAACCTAAACACGACCTGACTATTAAACTTGTCAAAAATGTCAATCCAAACACGATCCATTTATTAATCGTGTTAATCGTGTCAACCCGTATAACTCGTTTAAATTAATATATTGAATAAATAGTTAATATAATAACGACTTATTTAACACGGTCAAGACACGTTTAACATGTTTATTGGTCAATTTATCTTTTTCTTTAAGAAAAATAAATGAATTTTACTTATAAATATTAAAATTCACATTATTTGTATTTAATATGTCATATAAACTTTCATGTTATATCACATATCATTATACTGCAGATAACACATATAGTTAATCGTGTCAATTCGTGTCACTTTGTGTTAGGAGGTCAACCCTAACCCAACCCATTTATTAATCGTGTTAATCTTGTCAACCCGATTATGACCCAAACCCATTTATAGTAAACCCAAACCCGCTAACTTCATGCGGGTTTTGAGTCGTGTTGTCTTGTCGCTACCCAGATTGCCAGCCCTACTACCGGGTATCACATGCCAGACACTTACCTATATGCCACAACATAGGGATGTCAAATTACTGTAGGAAAACTTAAGTTAAGACCAAGCTTTAGATAGTCCTAGAAATGAATTATATCTGAGCAACAGAGCACAAGTTGAACTGTTAAATATTTTGCACCCACGCTAGAATTCTTGGAATAGTTATCTTAAAGTACTTAAAACTTTGATTATTATTAGTTTGTTGAACAGACTTTGATAATTTTATTTTTCATGTTTTTGTAGCTCTTCGTCCTTTAGTAAGCAGTCCTTCTAATATTGTTGATGACAATTTTTCTCAATGGAAACAACCTATTGTACAACAAGCCCTATCTCAGGTTAGCCTGAATGTTAAAGCAAATTGATTTTCTTCCTTTGTTATTATTTCTTTTAGCTTGGAAAGTTTTGATGTCATATTTGTGCCATAGTTAAGACAATAGCTTGCTGACGGTGCTGGTTTTAATTGCAGATTGTAGTGACATCATCATCGTCATTATACCGTCCACTTCTTCATGCTTGTGCTGGTTACTTATCGTCATTCTCGCAATCACATGTTTGTCTTTCTGAGTTCATTTCTTTTTTTATTTTATTTTTATTATTTATATGCTTATTTAATCTTTCTCTGTGGTTCTTTGAGTTTATATTTTAAGGGTTATACATTTTCCTCTTACTACCTAATTCTTCTCCAGTACCAATTCCTTTTCATTCAGAGGGCATCTCAAGAGAGATGGACAATACTTGTTTTCTCTTTCTTTTAATAGACACAACATCCGTCAAAACATGCCCAAAAACATAGTGGAATCTCAAAAAAAGAGTTTACTTGCATCCGCTTAAATAAGAGCACAATTGAGGAACAAATTGACTAACAAAATAGTTTGTGAGAAAAATGAAGAAAATACTAACAAAATAAGCTGAAAAATGTACAAGCAATATAATCAACATGTCCTGTTTGGAGTTGTATCATGCGAAATTGGGGGGGGGAAGAAAAAGAGACTATAACCTGTGTGGGTGTATTATTAGAGGTGGGGGGAGTGTGCTAAATATAATGATTCCACATATACTGTAGGAATGAGGTTGGAATGTCTTTTGAATCCTTGCGAACTAACTTGCCAAATACTCTTGTCGACATTAATTTTGTGACATGGAAGTGGACAATGCAATGTGCTTTTTAATTTTGTTAAGTGTTTTTGACCTCTATTAATATGAATCTTCTTGTTATTTGGGAGATAATATGAGCAAATTTATCACTGTCCAAGGTTGTTTTTCTTTTACTTGATAAAGACTAACATCTGGTGGCCCATCATGGCATATGCATGTTCAATAGAATGAGTAGTGGAAGGATATAACCCACGAGGTGAGATATTAATCAGCAGAAGAAACTTAATAGCATATTCATGTGCATAACTAGTGCAAGGATATAACCTGGGAGATGTGATACGTAGCAAAGAAAGAACTTGTGGAAATTCGGTGTTTAAATTACTAGGGTTAAGTTAGTCTTTTGGTTTCTAAAAATAAAGAGATTTGGATAATGTCTTACCTGATCCTCTCATTTATTTTTCCTGTTTATTATCTTTACTAGGATTAGAGATATTGTTTTAGTTTATAAGTTCCTTGTTTTGAGGAATCGATTAGGGCATCTCCTCCTATTTAAACTTATTTTCGTTATTCATTATTCAATGAGAAATATTCTAGTTCTTTCTCAATTTCTCACATGGTATCAGAGCCTTCCAAAAATCCCTCTCTGATGACCAAATACGGAATGGCACCGAGAGGCAGAAGGAGTCATCATCCGAAGTCACTTCAGGCTCTGGAGTCTCGAACTTTAGCACCTATGGCGTTGCAGAAGGCGTTCATCTTCCCATTACAGGGCACAAACTGAATGGGAACAATTATCTTCAATGGTTGCAGTCCGTTATGATGTACATATGCGGAAAAGGGAAGGACGAATATCTCACAGGCGAGATCATCCCTCCAAAGGAAGGGGATCCCACATTCAGACTCTGGAAAACAGAGAACAATATGGTCATGTCATGGTTAATAAATTCAATGACCAACGAAATAGGTGAGAATTTTTTAGTCTATAGCACTGCACATGAAATATGGGATGCGGCTAAAGAATTTTACTCGAGTATGGAAAATACCTCAGTAATTTTTGAGATCGAAACTACAATCCATGACCTTCGACAAGGAGATCTTTCTGCCACCTAAT